ACATGGCCTCCACATTCTTACGCCAGTCAGTCACCTCTTCTTTCTATCAATGGGACAAATAGATAAAAATAGGTTTAGAATGAGCTTTGATTTATTTAAATGACAAATGAATGAAAATATAATGCCAAAAGACTAAAAAACAGAGATAGAATGCATTACCTTCTCCTCTTCTTTCTTTACTGTCTTCAGGTTGGCTTTGAAATCTGACTTTGCTGACATTTTGAATTCAGTCAGCGCATCGAGCTTGGCATCATGTGACTTCTTAACCTTCTTCAGTTTGGTTCGTTGCTTTGTACCCTTCATTTCCCAAATCTTCTGGGTCAAGGACTGGATCTGAAATGGACCACAATGATGGTAACTTGTGAAACAATTGTTTGTCAGATGTCAGTTTTGCATTTTATTCATTTGAGAGCAGTGTTGTAAAAATAATAGAAAAAAAATAAATTAGAGAAAAAAATTACATAAAAAACTAACTTAAACTTAAAAAGCTTAAATCTAAACTAGAAATGTTGCCTCCGCAACTAACTGAAATAAATAAGTTTAAGTGAAAATTCTAAAATTACAAAAACTGAAATCAAAATAAATTAAAGTTTATAATAATAATAATAATAATAATAATTGGCAAAAGAATATAAAATTACCAAAACTTAAACTAAAATTAAAACAAAAAACAAACAAAAAAATATATAAAAATAAAAGCTAATTCAAAATACTGATAAATACTGTAATAGTATATAAATAATACTAAATTATCACTGTTTGAAAGACATTGTGCAGGCACTTAATTATTTTCATGTTCCCTGCGATTAAAACCCATAACCCTATCATCGTTAATGTCACTAACAACAGTGAGGTTACGGGTTTGAATCCCAGTTCGAATACTAATGACATGCTTTATTTACTAGAACTACGGGATCACTTGTTAACATATGTATTATATATGTATAAACTACTACTTAATCTTTCGTTTGTCTTTCAAAAAGTGATGCATCAACACAAAACCATACCTCTTTTTCATTTTTAGCCACTTTCATTTCAAGATCATAACAAGCCTCGTCAACGATATCAATCTTGCGGTGAAGCTCTTTGCATAGTTCCTGAAAAAAAAACATTAAAGACATTCTGTATATTTATTTCTGCATGTTGTTGGTGCAGAAATATTTATTCATGAAAATACCTGGAGCTCCTTTGCAGACAGACCAGATAGGTTGAGAGGAGGAACCCTCTCATTAAGAGCATCCTCCCTCTCTCTTTTGTTCTGCTCTATTTCAGCTGCCAGCATAGACGTGGCTGCCTTCAATAATGTGCTCTGTAATGCAACAGCACTGATGTGACTATAAAGTTCCAGCAGATT